ATACCATTTTCTCTAAGATAAAACTTTAATCATTTGTCACGGAAGCCTTAGATAAACCAAGAAGAGCATCCGCGACCAGCGACTACTTATCCTTTTTTGTTCATACTCGTTTTACTTATAAAATTAAAGCATCCGTTTCAAAAAACTGCTTTCGAAATCCTAGTTGATGCTTATTCATCAAATTGATTTTTTGTAGATACTCGATTGTTTTTTTTTTCTGAAGAATTTTCGTCAAAAACATTTTAAAGCAAAAATAAATGAAATTGGATGGAGTGGAGTATTTTGCATCTTCTTTATCCCCTTTTTTGAACAAAGATGTTATGTTAGCCAATTTAAGTCTATCAGGAAAAATATCGATAGCAATTTTTTCCTTTACTAATCATTTTATATGTCCTTTTTGTGGCCTAATCATGTTATGATCACCCCGGTGTGTTAGATGGACCCAAAATTTTAAGGTGAATGAAGGGTTTAGAAATCTAGATATAATTTTCGAGCCGATGAAAATAACCCTATCGGTTGAAAAAACAAACTGGAATTTATAAAAATAAAAGTTTTTATGTCAAAAAAAAAAAAACATTCAGCTGGGTTTCAAGCCGCCGACCTATTTCTAGCAGGCGTTTTATCAGTAGACTAAATTTTTTTTCTTGCAGTTTTCAAGAGAATTGGGCTGCCCTCCGCTGTCGCAGAGTGCATTCAATGAAAACTTATCAAATGTACAAGAAAAATTCAGTGACAGATGACAAATTTAAAAGTAATTAAATTGACATATTCAAAATGACAAGCTAAAATGATTTTCAAATCATTCCAAAAGTTTCGACATTATGAGTTTTTGTTTTCAACAAAATTTTGCTATGCTGATATTTACGTCACCACACAAGTACCCGTACTCTTAACATGGAAACGAGAGGACATTTGTCGGAAACCAGCAAGCTGATGAGCTGTTTCATTTGAGCTGAACACATTTTTCAGAAAAAAAACAACACTGAATTTCCGGCAATTTGATATTCGAAAACAATATTTATTCAAAATTAAAAATTTTAACAAATATATGAAAACACAAACATTTTGGGAGAACTTACATGATTTTCAAGAGATTTTCTTTAATGAAGCTTGGCTTTGGTCCTTCTTAATCTGGTTCAGAAAAAAAGTGTTATACTTTTTTGATACAGAATAAATTGCAATTTTGAAAAGTAGCTTTCTTATTGAATGATCTTTATGTATCAAAATACTTTTTATTTTATAGTTTTTGAAAAATGGCTATTGCAGAAAACGTTGAAATCAAACTTGTTTGTTTTCTCTGGAGAATAGATTTGCGCTGTTGGTTAAACAAGTCCACGTTTGATAGACAGAAGCTCAGATTTTTGACCTCCAGAATACTGGTGAAAATATTAATTGGTGATCAATCACAAAACGAATAGTTGCATTTTCAATCAAATTATAACTTTGATCCAAGTTGCAATTTGGACACCTCGAAGTAAGCTATTACGGCTCAGCTGAAAAAATTTTCTAGCGTTATGATAAGATAATCTCAATTTGTACAGAAGTCATAGCCTGAAACTGTAAAAAGGCTAAAAACTGACAATTGAACAAAACTGGCCATAAATTGGATAGTAAAATTTGATGGAGCATGTAGATGATGCTGATAATCTGCGCCATTTTTTACAAAAAATGTTTCAAATTGAATTTGTTATTTTAATTGGTTGCCATTAAAGACGCCTAACTTTTGAATTCATGTTTCTCGTTTATAACTTGATTACTGAATTGAATTGTTTCTTTTTTTTTGATCTACTCCCAAAAACAGAAGTTGTGACTGATAAAAATTCGCTAATGCCCGTTTTTAAAAATTCTTTACACTGGCTAAGGTTTTTGCTGTTACTCAGCAGTATGGTATCATTTTTATAATGCATGAATTCACAGTTGGCTGTTTTTTACATATCTTTGACAAACAAAAAGGTCCTCAGACTGTAATTTAAGAACCTGCGACTGCATGTAAATCTGACTCTGCTCCGCTTAAGACAAATTTGTGATGTATGTTTGTCAGATAAATTTCAATAAAACTTATGACACTTGAATCATTGCTCAGGGATACCATTTTCTCTAAGATAAAACTTTAATCATTTGTCACGGAAGCCTTAGATAAACCAAGAAGAGCATCCGCGACCAGCGACTACTTATCCTTTTTTGTTCATACTCGTTTTACTTATAAAATTAAAGCATCCGTTTCAAAAAACTGCTTTCGAAATCCTAGTTGATGCTTATTCATCAAATTGATTTTTTGTAGATACTCGATTGTTTTTTTTTTCTGAAGAATTTTCGTCAAAAACATTTTAAAGCAAAAATAAATGAAATTGGATGGAGTGGAGTATTTTGCATCTTCTTTATCCCCTTTTTTGAACAAAGATGTTATGTTAGCCAATTTAAGTCTATCAGGAAAAATATCGATAGCAATTTTTTCCTTTACTAATCATTTTATATGTCCTTTTTGTGGCCTAATCATGTTATGATCACCCCAGTGTGTTAGATGGACCCAAAATTTTAAGGTGAATGAAGGGTTTAGAAATCTAGATATAATTTTGGAGCCGTAAAATTTATGAAAATAACCCTATCGGTTGAAAAAACAAACTGGAATTTATAAAAATAAAAGTTTTTAAGTAAAAAAAAAACATTCAGCTGGGTTTCAAACCGCCGACCTATTTCTAGCAGGCGTTTTATCAGTAGACTAAATGGGAAGATACCTGAAGGTAATGGCCTTTTCAAAATAAAGCCAGAGAGAAAAGCTGATTTATGGAAAAAGTCGAACTCTTGGTGACAAGAGACTTGCTCTCTTAAGTCTACACAGATGCATACATGGCAAAAAAGCAAAATCTCAAATTTTGAGAAATTCTTGAGTGCTAAAGAAAACGCAGCAACAATCCTTCATTTAGATTTCTTATGTTAATACTGCTCCATAGACCTTAAAAGGCAATCGGAACATTCAAAGCTTTGCAAAAAATTGGAATTAAAGCATTCTTAAAAAGTTGAATTAAAATCTATGTTATTTGCTTTTGAGGCAAAAATCTCACAAAAAATTGCAAAACCAAGTTGAAAATGAAAAAAAAACACTATCCAGATATTACAAAGAATACGAACATCAAGATGTTGAACCTGCTACAAAATTCTGCAAGTGTTACATTTTGCGAGAGGCAACGTAATAAGAGCAAGTTGCGTGGTGCCTCAGGTCAATTTTGAAAGATTTATTTGGCCGCTTATGCCTCATTAGAACAATCTACATTGCGCGTTAAATATTGTTCCGACTTTCGTAACGAAAGGAACGGAATATTTGTGCTCGGGGTGGGTTTTTTTTCTTCAGACAATTTTCGACTCTTTCACTGGGAGGGTAGCACCAATCTGGAGCAAAGCAAAAATTACTGGCATAGTGGCTTTGTGACTTACTCTGCGTGCAGCTGTGAGAGTTTCTGGGTTATCGGTGTACAGGGGGAAGCGCCACATGTTTTCCAAACTTCGAACTCGCTGGAGAAGTCACCATCTGGAAGTACTCCGTCGTATAACTGGACCAGATCATCAAAATCTTTCTCACTTATATAATGGGGTGGCAGCTTGCACACTTGAGCACATGAAGAAGCTGCTCCAACGAGGCGTTCGTTGAGATCCATCAGGACAAAGTCAAGAAAGGGCAGGTAAACGGTCTGTCTGAAGTCATCATAAGCCGATGATGCTACAGGAGGTCTGCCTCTTTTGCCCTCTATTTGAATATTGCCAAGCTTTGCTGCGTCATAATGAGCTTTTTCGTTGCGGCCATTGCCTTCACAATCGCGCCATTGTTGAAAGAGGTTACGCAAGTTCCAAAGGTGATCCATCGACTGAGGCAACTCCAGCGAAGGTCCCTGAAGAGCAATGCTGGTAGCTTTAATCGCTCCCAGCAGGTGCTTCATCAGTAGAGTCCCTCTTGGATCTTGGAGTAGGTGAGGAACTGATATCTTTCCAGATGCTGGGATCCAAGAGTTCGCTTTTCTTGTTTTTCCTGTTTCGTCACAAAATCGTATAGCCAGACTTGCAGTGGGGGTTTGTAGGGGTTGTCCAACAGTGCAAACTGTCCAGTGAGCTGAAGTTGCCGACGTCAATGTAGGATGGAGAGTGTAGAGCTGGCTCAGAGGGCGGAGATATAGAACTAATTGATGAAAGATATTCATCTTTTATGGTGGCTAGAGGAGCCAATGGCTCTAAGAGCCACGAAGGTGCAGGTATGGGCGTCTCAGGAGTGGATGGCCCAGGGTTGTCAGGCTCAGGAGTGGTTGCAGTGGATGAAGGTGGTGACTTCTTGGGTCTACTGGTGAAGAAAGCCTTGAGCGTTTTGAAGCCAGAAGCCTTGGAGTCCTTGGGAGCAGTCCGCTTTCACATCTGGAAGGTTGAAGTTGAAGTCCAGGGTCCAGTCCAGAGCTCAGTGTGAAGTCCAGTGAAGAAGACTTTAGAATGGGCTAGGTAGTTTTGAACGGGGTATATATACTGCGAAGGAGGCAGGTTGACAGGTACCTGTTAGCAGGTACCTGGCTCGAGTAAAAAAAGGAGTCCAGTTAGAGGCCTCAAAAAAGACGCATTTTCACACCTTGATTTTTCACACTCATATTTTTCTTTGATGTAAAGGCCAAAAACACCGGCGCCCAAGGCGCCCTTTGCAAAAAATTAAGTAAATTGTCTATGTGACCCTTTGGTTTTTGCTAGGATCAAATTCCTGAGGAGGGGGGCGTCCGCCCTTCCCCCTCCCCTAAATCCGCCCTGATTTAAACTAATTTGTTCTCCACTTTTTGAGTAGTTTCTCCAGAGGTACTACTTGTGCTGCATAGCCCCTATAGCTAACCCTGATACAGAATTCTTTTCCTGATTGATATGTTATTATTTTGTAACGAATTCAATATTCAGAGAAGAGAATCATAAAGGTACGCAAATTTGAATAGATTTCATCAATTCATATACGCAAACAACAAACCATTCAAGTTACTTTGGATGCATACATTGCATATAAATAGTTGTAAGAATTAAAATGCTAAACCAATAGATCTGGTCAAGTCAAACGAAAATTCAATTTAATTTGACAATTTTTACTCAAATTTTCTCTGCTTTAACTGTGAGCTTAGTAGAAAACTAAGCAAACTTAAAAATACCCTGCTGTTTAAAAATGAAACCCTTTATTCCAATGAAAGGAATTCAAGTCGCTGCCATTACCCCTTTCAAACGAAACCCTGAAAACAACCCTCATCAACCTTACACCATTGATACCTCCGTTATAGAGCACTACTCCTCTTACCTGTCCCAAAACGGTGCTAGCGGCGTTTTCGTGGGCGGAGTAACAGGCGATTTTACCATTCTTACAACTGAAGAACGTCTTGACCTACAAGCCGCTTGGCTGCAAACTTCAATACGATCAAAGCTCAATCACGTTATTATTCATATTGGGGGTCCATTTTTTGAAGACGTGATCAAATTAGGTGTTCACGCTTCTGAAAACTCAGCTTCGGCCGTAGCCATAACTTTTCCCTCTTTTCCAGCCCACGCACCTCAAACCGAAACCCACTTAATCGAATACTTATCTCGTGTAAGCTTTGCTTTACCCGATATACCTTTACTTATTTACAATATATCAGGTACTACGCCGTCGCATTACGTTAATAATTTGTACCCCTTGCTGAAGAAAGCGATTGATGGAAATAAAGTTCCCACACTAGTTGGTTTGAAGTACTCTTCGACTAATTTTATAGACGCCTTCGAATTGAAGACTTATCTCGGTTTAGATATTGCAATTGGATGTGATGAACAAATGTTAGCAGCTTGTGCCATGGGGTTCACAGTTAGTGCCATTATTTGTCATCCTTTCAAGTGTTTTCATGGCGACTTCTAAAATTAGTCATCAGTTGCGGAATTTAAATGTTATCAAAATAGAAAAAGCGTTCTTAAAATCATTTGAAAAAAGTTTGACAGATTAAAACTTTTGAAAAATTACATGAAAATGGAAATGTAAAATTTTTAAATTACCAGTTTCATGTTTTTTTAAAATTCACATTTAAACTCTTTTTAAATGATTTCAGAAACGTCATTTTTTCTGCATTTGAAGAATAATTTTTGGAATATTATTTGAAAAAGTTGCAATGATGTTTTTTAGAGCTTCATTGGATCAACGTACAACATTTTCAGCAAGAAATTCAACCATATTCTTTCGCTGATGGAGACCGGAAACACCAGAGAAGCATCCGAACTCTCCCAGCGACTGTTCACAGCCATAAGAACCATTACTTCAGTTTGCTATAAACTCACACTTCGCAAAGTTGTCAATAAATCTCTTCAGGCTAAATTTGGAGTCAGTTTGGGAGATGAAACCAAGTATTCGTTTTTGACTGACGATGATGTTGCGTCTTCGGATAAACTTGTTGAGACATTTATGAAAGACTTTGGAGATTTGATTGATTAGTCCGATCATAGGAAACGATAGTTTTCATTGTAAACTTGAGCAGCCGAGATGTAAGTTTTCCGACCAATAAATTGTGGAAACCAAATTTATGAAAATTTAATATATTTTTAGATTTGTTCATTTTTCACCCTTTTAGGGCCAAATAAATTCAGTTCATAATCAAATACTTCATTTTGGTGAGCTGCCACAAGTAACTAAACTGAGCTTATCTCAAAACATAGCCAACATAGTTTGAAAAATTTTCTTGAGCTCATCGCACCCGAAAAAAAATGTTTTCTCAATTTCTTATTTTTGAGTTTGATGAAACAAGACACATCAATTGAAGTAACACTTGGCCGAATAAGTGAAAATTTATTGGCACTTATAAACCTCAAAATTTGAGAATTTGCAAATGTTTTTGGCAATTTTGTGAGAAGGAATCGACTATTAACAAAAACTAGCCTTAAAAATATAATCCACAAAATTTTTCAATCCGGCTACATACTTTCCAATACTATGTCATCTTAAGTAGAAAAACAGTCTAGTCAGATAGAATGACAAACGGCTTACCGCGACCAATCCAGACCATGTTTTGAAACTTGATGGAAGTTTTGAATCCAATTTTTGAAGACGTGATCAAATTAGGTAATCACGCTTCTGAAAACTCAGCTTCGGCCGTAGCCATAACTTTTCCCTCTTTTCCAGCTCAAGCACTTCAAACCGAAACCCACTTAAGCACCGCAAACCGAATACTCAACCAAATACCTCAAACCGAATAGCTCAAGCACCTCAAAACGAATACTTAATTCGTGTAAGCTTTGCTTTACCTGATATACCTATACTTATTTACAATATATCAAGTGCTACACCATTACATTACGTAAAAAAATTTGTACACCTTACTGAAGCAAGCCATTGACGGAAATAAAGTTCCAACACCTGTCGGTTTGAAGTACTCTTCGACTAAATTTATAGACGCCTTCGAATTGAAGACTAATCTTGGGTTAGATATTGCAATTGGATGTGATGAACAAATGTTAGCAGCTTGTGCCATGGGGTTCACAGTTAGTGCAATTATTTGTCATCCTTTCAACTATTTTCATGGAGACTTCTAAAATTAGTCATCAGTTGCGGAATTGAGATGTTATTAAAATAGAAAAAGCGTTCTTAAATTCTTTTGAAAAGAGTTTGACAGAGATTAAAACTTTTAAAAAATAACATGAAAATGGAAATGTAAAAATTTTAAATTACCAGTTTCATGTTTTTTTAAAATTCACATTTAAACTCTTTTTAAATGATTTCAGAAACGTCATTTTTTCTGCATTTGAAGAATAATTTTCGGAATATTATTTGAAAAAGTTGCAATGATGTTTTTTAGAGCTTCATTGGATCAACGTACAACATTTTCAGCAAAAAATTCAACCATATTCTTTCGCTGATGGAGACCGGAAACACCAGAGAAGCATCCGAACTCTCCCAGCGACTGTTCACAGCCATAAGAACCATTACTTCAGTTTGCTATAAACTCACACTTCGCAAAGTTGTCAATAAATCTCTTCAGGCTAAATTTGGAGTCAGTTTGGGAGATGAAACCAAGTATTCGTTTTTGACTGACGATGATGTTGCGTCTTCGGATAAACTTGTTGAGACATTTATGAAAGACTTTGGAGATTTGATTGATTAGTCCGATCATGGGAAACGATAGTTTTCATTGTAAACTTGAGCGGCCGAGATGTAAGTTTTCCGACCAATAAATTGTGGAAACCAAATTTATGAAAATTTAATATATTTTTAGATTTGTTCATTTTTCACCCTTTTAGGGCCAAATAAATTCAGTTTATAATCAAATACTTCATTTTGGTGAGCTGCCACAAGTAACTAAACTGAGCTTATCTCAAAACATAGCCAACATAGTTTGAAAATTTTTCTTGAGCTCATCGCACCCGAAAAAAAATGTTTTCTCAATTTCTTATTTTTTAGTTTGATGAAACAAGACACATCAATTGAAGTAACACTTGGCCGAATAAGTGAAAATTTATTGGCACTTATAAAACTCAAAATTTGAAAATTTGCAAATATTTTTGGCAATTTTGTGAGAAGGAATCGACTATTAACAAAAACTAGCCTTAAAAAATATAATCAACAAAATTTTTCAATCCGGCTACATATTTTCCAATACTATGTCATCTTAAGTAGAAAAACAGTCTAGTCAGATAGAATGACAAACGGCTTACCGCGACCAATCCAGACCATGTTTTGAAACTTGATGGAAGTTTTGAATCCAATTTTTGAAGACGTGATCAAATTAGGTAATCACGCTTCTGAAAACTCAGCTTCGGCCGTAGCCATAACTTTTCCCTCTTTTCCAGCTCAAGCACTTCAAACCGAAACCCACTTAAGCACCGCAAACCGAATACTCAACCGAATACCTCAAACCGAATAGCTCAAGCACCTCAAAACGAATACTTAATTCGTGTAAGCTTTGCTTTACCTGATATACCTATACTTATTTACAATATATCAAGTGCTACACCATTACATTACGTAAAAAAATTTGTACACTTTGCTGAAGCAAGCCATTGACGGAAATAAAGTTCCAACACCTGTCGGTTTGAAGTACTCTTCGAGTAACTTTATAGACGCCTTCGAATTGAAGACTGATCTTGGATTAGATACTGCAATTGGATGTGATGAAAAAATGTTAGCAGCTTGTACCATGGGGTTTACAGTTAGTGCCATTATTTGTCATCCTTTCAACTGTTTTCCTGGAGAGTGTTTTTGGCAATTTTGTGAGACGGAATCGACTATCAACAAAATATAGCTTTAAAAAAATATAATCAACAAAAACATTCAACCCGGCTAATTATTTTCAAATACAATGTCATCTTAGGTAGAAAAACATTCTGGTCATACAGAATGACAAAAAGTTTATAGCAACCAATTCTGACCATTTTTGCAATTTGATGGAGGTTTTGAATCCAATTTTTGATGACGTGATCAAACTAGGTATTCACGCTTCTGAAAACTCCCGTCGACCGTAGCCATAACTATTCCTTTTTTTCCAGGTCAAGCACCTCAAACCGAAACCCATTTATTCGAACTCTTATCTCGTTTAAGCTTTGCTTTACCCGATATACCTTTACTTATTTACATTATATCAAGTACTACACCATCACATTTTGTAAAAAAAAATTTATAATAATTTTATAGAGGCCTTCGAATTGAAGGTTAATATTGGATCGGATATTGCAATTCGATGTGATGAACACATGTTAGCAGCTTGTACCATGGGGTTCACAGTTAGTGCCATTATTTGTCATCCTTTCAACTGTTTTCATGGAGAATGTTTTTAACAATTTTGTGAGGAATGGATTATTAACGAAAACTCTAGCCTTCAAAATATATAATCAATTTGATGAAAGTTTCTCGCATTATGATGAAAGTTTCTTAATTTGATGAAAGTTCTTGCAGTTTCTTGCAATGAAGATTTTTTGCAATTTGATGAAAGTTTCTCCGAATTTTTTTTAATAGAGTCTGAATCACAACTGAAAAAAAAAAACGTCAGAGCTATACAGTGCTGATTTAAATTAACCGGACAAAATGAACAAATTTTGAAATTTCAAACGCGTTTTTCTCAAATTGGGTTAAGATTAGACAAAAAGTGAAGAAAACAGAAGTTGCTTAGAATTTCAATAGAATTAATGGTGCAATTTTTTCTCCGAAATTCTCAACCAAGTTTTTAGCCTAAAAATGGGTCAATATGGCTTTTTTTAATAAATCAAGAATTACGCTGAAATTAATTAGTTACTAGATGAGAAATTCATAATACAAAAATCCTCTTACACAACCCAACAAATTTCTTCAAGGTGCACATCTCCAAAAACCTGTATAAAAGAAAATATTTTGCTAGACAGTCAAGAAATGTGATTTTTACTATATAAAACTCAAAATCTTTGCTTTAAAACAAATTTTGAACAATTTGCGCAAGTTTTTGGAGATTTAGTTCTTCTAGAAATTTGTTGGGCTGTGAAAGAGGCCCCTTGTAATACAATTTTCTCATCTATTAACGAAGTAGTTTCAGCGTAATTCTTGATTAATTAAAAAAAAGCCAAATTGACCCTTTCTTAGGCTTAAACTTTTGTTGAGAATTTCCGAGAAAAAAAATCACCATATTAACTCTGAAATTCTAAGCAATTTTTGTTGTCTTCACTTTTTGTCTAATCTTAACCCAATTTGAGAAAAACGCGTTTGAAATTTCAAAATTTGTCTGTTTTGTCCGGTTAATTTAAATCAGCACTGTACACTTGGTCTTAAATAAAGTACTTTCATAATTATCCTTCCCACTCTCTGGTCGAACGAAAAGAATTTTGTGAGTGAGTGTCGTGTTAGCCCAGCAGCTATCACGCTCAGGTCAGTCCAAGTTTGGATCTGCAAGAGTCCTTAGAAGATTTGTAGTTTGAATCGTAGCATTTGAATCGAAGCATTGAGCCGATTCGAACTACAAACCTTCTTATTACCATGGAGTGTGTTGATGAGAAGTGCTTCAGTCTCGCTTCATTTACCACTGGGCTACGGCTCACTCAACTGTTCAAGTTAAACGACAAATCAAGTAGAATTTAAATGTCATCAACATTGCTCAGAAATCAATAACAATAACTTCAATGTATTTCGCCAAATATGCCTACTACAATTGACAACAGCTGACTATCAATTACACTATAAAACCTACATTTCGTGTCAGAGCAGACAACAAATTAGAACACGAACAAAACCAAACCGAGGATTTTCTCTTTTTATCCAAAACTTATTTCAATTCGGAGAAAAAAAACAAAGTCAGCATTCATTGTGGGTTTTTCCATAATTGGCAATTGATGATTAGCTAGCTCATGATAGTTTCATTTCAAATTAAGTAAGTTTAAGCCTTTAACTCCGCTTTTATTAACTTATTTTTTCTACCATCATTTCCTCTTGAGGTAAAAAAAAGCCTTTATGTTGGGCGTTTGCTTGTCCTTGGAGCTCCCAGATTTTTTCGTTCTTTCCTTTATATCTCTCTCTACAAACAAAACTTGATTCCTGAATACGAAATTAGTTCCTCGCCTCACTAAAGATTGAACAAAACCACATGTTAACTCCGGTAATTGCGTAAATTCAATTTGCAATTTTGTGTGATATAAACTTTAGAAAGACAATGTTAAGACAAAGGCCATGCCAATCAACCAGCCATGCCTAACGGGTTGAGGATTCAATATTGAAATGCTTCAAGGGGTGCTATTCTTATGCGCGAAGGACCGAATGCGCGAAAAAAACTCGTGCGCGAAGGACCGAAAACAAAATTAGCCGAAAGTCGATTGTTAAAAAAAGCAATTGCCATTCAATTGAAACGAATTAAATGAAGCAATATTTTGCTTCTTTCATAACGAAACCCTTGAAATATACAATTCGTCCCAACTCGGCGGCGGTCAGTGACAATTTGAAAATCACCAGTTATAGTTGGCCTCAATTCAATTTGGAAAAATCATGAATGCGGCTACTTTGCCACGCATAAGTTGCGTACTGAAACTACTAAAGTATGATTCGGGTAGCGATGCGATACGTATTCATGACATGAATTGTCTCACATGAATTAAAGAAAAAAGCGGTAAAATCTTTTAATAATAGCATGATTTGTTCCTAACTAATGAGTAATAAATTTGACTTCAACAAAGAGATCTTTAAGACATATTATCATATTATAGTTTTTGTCGATACACTTAAGGGAAACGGCAAACGTCCTACCACTATGGAAGACCTAGAAAAAGCTAAGCTCCTCCTTTATCAACAGTCCCAGCAAGAAACCTTTGGTGACACCTACAATCAACTACGAACCAAGCAACAAGTTCAAAACAAAGACAAACTGCAACAGCTGTCACCTTTTCTCGACAACGGTGTTATTCGCGCGCGAGGACGACTACGAAACTCACCTTTACCGGACGCAACAAAGTATCCAATAATTCTTAACGCAAAGGACCCAATTGTGCGTATGATGATCGAGAGCGCTCATCGCCGCTGCATGCACCACGGCACTGAGTACATTCGCAACTACCTGCAACAAAGTTTTGTCATTATTGGGCTCCGAAAAACACTCAGACAGATAAGACATAACTGCTTTCTCTGCAGAAGATTCCAAGGCAAAGGGCTACATCCACTCATGGCCGACTTGCCGCCAACTCGTTTCGACGATCCGTCTGACGACCCATTTCCGTTCAAAAACACAGGAATTGACTATATCGGGCCATTCTACATAGCAACAAAGGATACAACTGAAAAAAGCTATATTTGCCTCTTCACATGCCTCTCTACTCGCGCGGTTCACCTGGAATCGACAGACAACCTTACTACGAACAACTGTATAACGGCAATTAGACGTTTTATTGCTAGGAGAGGCACACCTAAGCTTTTAATCTCTGACAACGCTACTTACTTCGTCGGCGCGCGTAAACAACTACGCTCAGAACCAATCAACTTCAACGAAACCACCCTAACTGAAACGCTACAAATCCACAATGTTGAATGGCGCCTAAATCCTCCGGCTGCCCCCCATTTTGGCGGCGTGTGGGAGCGACTCGTTTCATTGATAAAACGAGCATTCTTACTAAATCTCGGTTCTGATCGACTATCAAGAGATCTATTTGCTACTATCGTAGCCGAGACCGAGGCAATCCTCAACTCACGTCCGCTAACTCATGTCAGTAGCGACCTTGACGACGACCTTCCACTGACACCCAACCACTTCTTAATGGGTCGTCCATTCGTCTACGCTCCAGCAGCAGCCTTCTACGAAGCATCTACCAGTAAACTGTCCAACAAGTCCTGGAAGCGAGCAAAAGATAGACTTGACAGCTTCTGGAGGCGTCTACTTAAAGAGTACGCTCCGACTCTCATCAGAAGGACTAAATGGACGCAACCCGAGGAACCACTCGAAAAGGATGACCTCGTGTGGATACTTGAGGACTTTACACCACGAGGCATCTGGCCACTGGGTCGAGTGTTAGAAGTTTTTACCGGCTCGGATGGCATCGCGCGCTCGTGTAAACTGAAAACAGCCCTAGGTACTTTAACGAGACCAGCGGTGAAACTTGCCCTCGTAACCCCAAAAAAGAAGATTTAAGACCACTTTAATTGTTCTACAACAACAACAACAAAAAACTTGGCTCAACTCCTTCCCCTTCGGTTCCAAATAAGATCTCCCTCCCCCGAGGATATTCATGACATGAATTGTCTCACATGAATTAAAGAAAAATGCGGTAAAATCTTTTAATAATAGCATGATTTGTTCCTAACTAATGAGTAATAAATTTGACTTCAACAAAGAGATCTTTAAGACATATTATCATCAACTTGTCTTGAATAATACGCATTTAATTTAGTTCAAGCATACTCGCTTGGCAATCCAAAGACTTCCGGATTGATACCCATTCGCTATCAACTTTTGTAAAATCGTTCTGCACTAAAAAAAACCACCACAAACTTTATAATACTCGCTTTCTTCGAAAGTTGGAAATAACCTTCATTTCGGGCGTGATTGAATTTAAGAATTTAAAGAATTTTCCTGGAAACGACTTTTTTCACCTCTTTTCTCAACTTTTATCTTTGCAAAAACTCAACTGCCATATCTTGTCCTGAACATATGTCTATTCATTTCGTTCATTGACACTTAAAAAAACAATACATAATTCGACGTGCTCTGCGCATTCAAGATTTCCAGAGCCGTTCAAATTTTTTGGATGACAAGACTGTTTGAACATTCGCAGTAAAATCTTAGTTCGAAGGTTAAATTGTTTAATTATTTTCATCAAGTCAGCAATTAAGACAAGTTTTAATGTTTAACCTACATCGCAGTACTCAAAAACGTTTGTTATATTCGCCAAAGTCAATTTATTTCAGTCTCGTTTCAGTTCACTAAGTCTGAGTGTAAACTATCAATTGATTCAGAACCTTCAGGGTCCGTCTTAAGTCGTCGAAGATCTTTTTCGGTTCGTGAAAATTATAAGAATCTGTCAATGATTAGGCCCTTCTGGACTTGTAAGTTTGCCATCCCAGGATAAAACATGGGACAATTGAGCTTAGGGCACAGAAGGTGCACGCCTTGGCCACCAGTCCCCACTTGCTTCGGGTGTTGAAGGGGAGTGTCTCGTTTGTTCCGTCTACGTACGCCATTCCCCTCTTAGACACTGCTGAACAGTTCTTTCCCTTGGACAGAAGTGCCCTTCTGGAAACTTGGGACAACATTGTCAATATCTAAAAACGAATTGAAACTTATGCTTCAAGATTTAGATTCACGTTCATTCTAGGCTCATGGTAATTTCCTTGACATTAAAAAGATCTTATTTTGCAAAATTTCATCACCGCAGCTGTCATTTTTAAAAACTCAAATTTCATCTTTAAGCCATATGACATCCAAAATAGAATGACATCCATCAAGTCATTTCCGCCCCACAAACCCAGTAATATCAGGCCCAAAAGAAGTCATTTCCGCCCCCAGACACTTCCGCCCCAAAAACCCAGTCATTTCTGCCACAAAAGCAGTTTTTACCGCCCCGAAAACCCAGTCATTTCTGCCCCAAAAGCTGTCATTTCCGCTCAAAACTATTCCCTTTATTTTGCTTCGATATACATTATCAAACAAAAAATTAATATGAAACGAAAACATTTATGGAGTCAACATGAGTGCAAGACGCGAGTTAACAGTATTGCGCACAGAATTAATTTAAGTGACTGGGTTTTCGGGGCGGAAATGATTAGGCGCGGAAGTGACTTGTACGGACTTGACTGGGAGCCGGAATATGCGGCCAATAATTTTGGTTTGGAAGCAACATCAACCAAACATCTTGCCTGTTTGAAACTGCATCCAGATTTTAAGCAGCTTTTAGAATAGAATCAAAATCGGACGATATATTTTCTACCGAAACACGTTAAATTTTCAAAGACTAAGAGTATTTTGGAAAAATATTTTGGAATTCTAGGAGTCGGTATAACAAGTTTTAGGATTTTAGGAAAAAGAAAGTTTCGCATTAACACTTTTTTGGATTATTTAATTTGGTATAGCCGACATAAACAAGTGTATTTACAATAACAAACTTATTTACAGGGTGCATTCAAAGCAAAGTAGCTAATATGGAAACAATAAAGAATGAATTTAAAATCCGCCGTATGATAAAATGAAGCACATCAGGTTGTAGCATTGAAAAGCACAGTTGATATAAGAAAATTTTACCACGCCAACTTCGCTATTCCGATTTTTAGCACTCATCTTTGGCACAATGAAGAACAGCAAAACTTGCTGCGATGTTTTAAAAAACGGTATGATAATAGTTTTCAAGAGCCAGGTTGCGCAGAATCAGAATCACTCAGACAAAATGATTCTGATAAGACACGATAATTAGGTTGTAATAAACAAGAATCCCGGATCCCTGGCGATGTTCGAGGGCCAACCGACGTAAAGGCTAAGCTTCTAGATTGTTGTGAGTAAACCATTACGAGTCTTCATTTTCTGGATTAATAGGGTCTTAGCTACATGTATTAGACCAGGAGTCCCTTTTCCTTCAGGAATGCAGTCGAATTCGGTTCCCGACCCAGAAAATCTCTGAGCATGTCTATGGCGTCCTTGGATCCTCCTGGTTGCAGAATGCACTTTCTGTAGCTCAGTCCAGTGTCTGGGTTAAGCACTCCCTCCTTGCCAAAGCGAGAGGCAAACATGTCGGCCGAGTATACCTGAACAGAAATACAAATCCCCATCTCGATCAGTTTGTTGACGGCTATTGTTTTTTAGCCATCATGATAGTAACAGCACACGTACTGTAATAGCAGAGGGTACAAGTATGATAGTTGGGTTCGACAAGAAAGCAAGTATGAAAGATGGGTCCCGCAATTATTGTGACAACTTCAAAAAATCAAGTAAACAAATGCTAGCCATGTTTTCGAAGATATTAAGGCCTAAAATCTTTTCATCAGGGACCCATTTTAATTTTAGTGACCTAACTATCAAACTTGTACCTAGCAAAGTACTGTACAAAAAAATAGCATAGATAGAAATATGATATTTGTCTTTAAAAAACACATGATTCCCTGGGAAAAAAAAATGTTCGCTTTTTTATCTCCGGAAACATTGTTCCCATTTGTTTAATAGCGCTATCGGACTCAAACATGACACTTTCCTACTTAATAACTAGCATATCAGTTGCTTTTAGGAGCCCAACTCCCTAACGGGGCTTCCTGTCATACTAGCTTCTCATTATCTGAAAATGAATCTGATGTTAAATTAAATTCAATTCAGGCCATTCCGGGAAGCTAAAAGTTGTTAAAAATCAGTTCACAGTCTTTCCCCGAGACCCTTCCGAATTCCTGAATCCGAAAGAAGAGCTGTCTTGTTGTTGACCAGGAAGGGTAGCAAAATCCTCCCAATAGTCCTCCTGATTTTCGGGAATCGTTACAACTCAGCGGGTTCTTCCGTGAATATCGTTGACTATAGTTTCTGTCATTCACTATATCTGTTATACGTCTTGTTTATATCAGAGAAAATCGTGTTCTGATTTTCGCACTTTTTCAGAAGTCGCGAAATTTCAAGTTCGTGACGTGTTTTTACTTTTGAACGAATTTTTTAAAAATTATTTCGTCAATCCATATTGACCCCTCCGAATACGTTCAATTGAACGATTAACACCACTAATCGTTCAAGACAGCCAATTTTCCCACTGAACTGTTCCAAATAAAAATTCGTTGATGACCTGCATTTCAGGTCATTCTGATCGGATGTCTCAATTTTTGACTGGTCCAATTTCGAGATTGTATTTTGGTTGCCTAATTTATACATAAACATTTGATCAAAAAAATTTGCTTTCAGGAAGATCTTAGAAATGGGCAAAAAGATGTAAGAATTGACCAGCAGTGATGAGACCAGCAGTTATGAGACCAGCAGTGTTGAAGAGGATTCGCGTTTCACTGGGCATTAATTGGCGGCTATGGGACGTCCAGAAACCGAGCCACGACGGACAGAACCATCGTCGTCAATGACAGAACCATTTGACTTGAGAAACCGAAACAAACTAAGGCTAACCAATCTAAAATTGGTGCATCAAGAAGCCGAAGCGGACAAGATTTACCGAAACAAACTAAGGCTAAACAATCTAAAACTGTTGCATCAGGAAGCCGAAGCCTACAAGATTTACCGAAACAAACTAAGGCTAAACAATCTAAAATTGTTGCACCAGGAAGCCGAAGCGGACAAGATTTGCTCTTACTTCAAGAAGCCACTGAACATGCAATGGTAGAGTATTTTCATATTTTAGTTATTTTGCTAGCTGAATTTGGACAAACCACTAACGAGAGAAGACATGCTATTCCTGGACGATATAATGGATTGGAGGGTGTTGATTGGCCATTTAGAATTTTTTCAAGGCAGCCGAAGCAGGCAAGATTAGCTCTTACTTCAAGAAGCCACTGAACATGCAAGGGTGTATTTTCATATTTTAATTATTTTGCCGGCTGAACTTGGACAAACCAATCTAACGAGAGAAGACATGCTATGCTATTCCTGGACGATATAATGGATTGTATGGTGTTGATTGGCCATTTAGAATTTTTTCTAGGAAGCCGAAGCGGACAAGATTTGCTCTTACTTCAAGAAGCCACTGAACATGCAAGGGTGGTGTACTTTCATATTTTAATTATTTTGCCGGCTGAATTTGGACTAACCAATCTAACGAGAGAAGACATGCTATGCTATTCCTGGACGATATAATGGATTGTATGGTGTTGATTGGCCATTTAGAATTTTTTCTAGGAAGCCGAAGCGGACAAGATTTGCTCTTACTTCAAGAAGCCACTGAACATGCAAGGGTGTATTTTCATATTTTAATTACTTTGCCGGCTGAACTTGGACAAACCAATCTAACGAGAGAAGACATGCTATGCTATTCCTGGACGATATAATGGATTGTATGGTGTTGATTGGCCATTTAGAATTTTTTCTAGGAAGCCGAAGCGGACAAGATTTGCTCTTACTTCAAGAAGCCACTGAACATGCAAGGGTGGTGTACTTTCATATTTTAATTATTTTGCCGGCTGAATTTGGACTAACCAATCTAACGAGAGAAGACATGCTATGCTATTCCTGGACGATATAATGGATTGTATGGTGTTGATTGGCCATTTAGAATTTTTTCTAGGAAGCCGAAGCGGACAAGATTTGCTCTTACTTCAAGAAGCCACTGAACATGCAAGGGTGTATTTTCATATTTTAATTACTTTGCCGGCTGAACTTGGACAAACCAATCTAACGAGAGAAGACATGCTATGCTATTCCTGGACGATATAATGGATTGTATGGTGTTGATTGGCCATTTAGAATTTTTTCTAGGAAGCCGAAGCGGACAAGATTTGCTCTTACTTCAAGAAGCCACTGAACATGCAAGGGTGGTGTACTTTCATATTTTAATTATTTTGCCGGCTGAATTTGGACTAACCAATCTAAGGAGAGAACACATGCAATTTCTGGACGATATAATGGATTTGGAGGGTGTTGATTGCCATTTAGAATTTTTTCAAGGAAGCCGAAGCGGGTATCATGATGGATATTTGGGTAACATGATGGATATTTCCCTTGTAACACACAACCTTGGACAATGGTTCCAGGCATACATTTTTGTCTGTGCTGGGACACGCACAATTCAAAAGATGATACATCAGTTTAATTCAGCTACTTCTATTGGAAACATCCTACCAGTCAGAGCCACAGGGAATAAGACTATCCAGAATGTACCGAATTTTTGCCAATGGCATTCCAGTTTCAGAGTCAGAAACCTTATGTTGAGTCAGAAACTTTCAGGTTAATAATTGTAATACTATATTGTTTCTATGAAGAAATATACACACTTCAACTTATTTTACGGTTTAACAACCATAACTGGATTGGCTTATTTGTCATCAAAATTCGATTTTGAGAATTTTCCACCTTAAAATGTTGAGAGGGAAAATTTGAGCCAGCAATCATATGATTGCTGCGCACCATCACTACCGGAGCACCACATTCTTTTAAACATGTTAATTTTTTAATATTATTATTTTTTAGTCAACCGCCCACCTTAAAATGTTGAGGGAAAATTTTGAGCCAGCAATCATATGATTGCTGCGCACCATCACTACTGGAGCGCCACAATCTTTTTAACATGTTAATTTTTTAATATTATTATTTTTTTAGTCAACCAGCCCAAAGGCCTAACACGGAGGTTAATTATTTTAGGTTGACATGAGCGCATGTATTCAGCGCCCTTTAAGCTATGACTCAGTTGTAAGAGCTCGCCTCACAAACTGAAGGGCACGTGCGATTTGAGCCAGCAATCATATGATTGCTGCGCACCATCACTACCGGAGCGCCACAATCTTTTTAACAATTTGAGCTTTAAATTCGGCACTACTATGATAGAGTGGTCCCGGTCCCTCGAAAAATCAACTATGATAGCAGGGCTTCCGCAAAAAGGCCCATTATGGTCATAAAAAATGGAGGGAAAGGACAAAAAGTATGGCCATTATGTATGGAACTGCCTTCGATTATGGCCATAATTTAGGGATGACGTAACCCGATTAAGTAAAACAAATAGTTAGCGTGCAAACGCGTGCATCTGCAAAACAAAAACCGCGAGCACTTGTTGTATTGTTCGCATTGAGCCAGCGTGGTTTTGCTTTGTTCGAACCGAGTTTGTAAACTGTTCTTCAGATTATGCCTGGTTCAAACCAAGAAATTGTTGATTTGTTTTTCAGGCAGTTACAAGGCGATGAATATCAATGTTCCTGTGGTGTTGAACGCAAACAAGCTGCAAATTAAGGTGTTACAAACCTGAAGAGCCATATTACAACTGCTCATGAAGATTATAAAGAAATTTAAGCATCGAAAAGCAGACAGATGAAACTGCATTCAACAGAGGTCAGTAAAAAAGGCATGACAATTTACAAGTGACTTGAGTGGACGATTATGGATAATCACCCATTCAATTTTTGCGAACCCGAGTTGACACGTCAGAACACAAACTTGCAAGTTTTCACCGCTGAATTGCTTGTGTGTTATTTGGTGAAAATAACAGGAAAAGTTGAACAGAAAATAAAGGTATACTTCCAGAAAAGTTCTTGTTGATATGCGATGGTCAAAATGAGGTCAATTGAAAGAAATGGTGTCCTGAAGAAAAAACACTTGGGCGCAATAATCAGATATGATGTCAGGTGGTCATCGGCTTTCGAAATGATTGAACGTTATCGAAAAACAAAAGAATTTCTCCCAACTACTGATCTCGATATTATGCCCCTACTACTGAGCGATGAAGAAAAACCAGAACTCGATGTTTTCTACCAAAACCTTGATAAAATCAATAATGTCACAAAAGTTTTTCAAGCTGAAACTGGAATGACATTGGCAAAAATTCAGCAAATTCTGGAGGGTCTTATTTGCGTTTTCCCTCGATGGAGCATTATCAAAAAAAACGGCTATTGTACAGTCTACGGATTTTGAGAATGAAATCGTGAAATGTATCGAAGGAAAATTTTTTGGACCTGACATCTGGTGAAAAAACATCGTTCGAAGTTTGGAACGTCCGGTGCAAGAAACACCAACGCCGAAGTCAAAAACTAGATTTTGTTGAAAAAATTCTGCGTTAAAAATACAAACAAACTCATTTGTTTGCCTATGGAGTGGATTCCAGGTACGTCAAACAGTTGTGAGCGACTTTTCAGCAGAGCAAAACTCAAACTTGGATCGCTTCGAAAAAGCATGACTCTACGTCACCTTGAGTCTACTCTTTTCTTAAAAGTCAATAAAGAGCTTTGGAATGCTAAACTCGTTTCAAAAAATTGTAAAATTGAATAATTTGTTCTTGATTTTTCATTCAAAATTATGGACCGAATAAAACCCCATAATGGCCATTATTTATTTTTACCTGAGCGATTATGGAAATAATGGAGGGAAAGAAGGACGATTATGGCATAATGTAGGGTGGAAACCCCATTATATGGCCATACCTTTTGCGAAACCCCTGTATGATAGACAGGTCCACCATGCATTTCGCATGTTATAATTTTGAAAACTAGTTTGTTTGTAAATTAACTATAAATTAATCAGGCAAGTCAATCAACTGTTCCAGAAAAAAATATTAGCCGAAGTAATTGAGAAAGTGAATCTTAGTCAAATAATAAAACTAATTGGGTCTTATGCGTTAAACGGCTCAAAAATCAAAATTGAAGCAAAATAAAGCTAAAACTGAAACTGATCCTGATTGACTAATATTAGCCAATCAAGTTCGAGCAACTCGGTCAGCCATTTCGATTGATAACTGAGTTTAATTCTGATTGGCTCGTATAATATGTAATAACTGAAGTAATTGTATGTTGATTACGTGTTTTCAATTTGAAATAAAATTTCTGACTATTTTCCTAATTTTGGGCCGTTTAACGCATAAGACCTAACTAATTTCATGTTTTTTTTTTGTGTAATTATACCCGAAGAAAAAAGTTCAGTAAAATGGTTTCAACGTGAAAAAAATTCTTCCGTTTAGGTCAATTCGGCCAGTAATTTTATCTGCTTTTAATTGAAAGGCCGGACAATGTTGTTTGCATTTGATTGGCTAATGAACCAATCAGATTCAACCATATATTCACTTAGGATCAAGATGAAGAAATACTATTTTGGGCCGTTTTGTGCATAAGACCCACAATTTGTTTGAAAATATACTGCGACATCTTTCTGAATGGCGAAATCATAATTAACATAATTAATTAATATTTCAGCCCTATGTGTTTGATTCCCAAGAGACCTGGTTATTTTCAAGGGACCACTCTTATTATAGTAGTACCTTCAATTCAAATGCAGTCGTTTACAAAAAAAAAAACACGTTAAACACAAATTTGAGTTTTCAAATCCCTCGGAACTTGGAAGTTTTCCATAGGTGAGTTCGAGAATTGAGGAACGCCGCTCTAATCTAGCTCTGGAGAAAATAGCAGCGGCCTAGTCGAGCAATTTTTTCGATGAAATATTAAAAACGACTCGTTTTTTCATATTTCATCGAAAAAATTGCTCGATTAGGCCACTGCTATTTCCTCCAGAGCTAGATTAGAGCGGCGTCAATGCTCGAACTCACCTATGGAAAACTTACAAGTTCCGAGGAATTTTAAAACTCAATTTGTGTTTAACGTGTTTTTTTTTTGCATAAATTACCATGTTAAAAACGTTTTAGGTGACAATATGATAACAATAAAAAGCCGACCACAGAGGGATTCGAACCCCCAATCTTCTGATTCGAAGTCAGACGCCTTATCCGTTAGGCCATGCGGCCCTGAGTACGTAGACACTTAGCGAAACCAATATAAATTACGCACAACGATGAATACTGAATACTCTGCATTCTAATTCATGCTTTTGAAATTCCTGTGACAGTGATACGTACCTCAGACCAGAGGTATCCATAGTACTGTGCATCGTATCCGTCTATGACGTGTTCGAATGAGGCAGGCATGCATGTGCCTGGAGTGGCACTCACTCCCATGATACTCTCACACACTGCACTGTAGTCAACAGCCACGTCCGACTGGGCCTGCAAAATAAAAACGGGATGTGTTCGTGTTCACTAAACCGATGCATCAGTTCTTCAACAGATCCAATAAGTCCAATTATGAAAAAAATTATTTCAATTACTTTTTCAAAGACTCATACAATTGATCTTTGCTGAGCTAAAATGACAGACTAAATATTGTTGTACAGGTTCATGTAAATTTGTTTTGCGAAAGAAATACGACTTTTTCTACAAATCTGAGACTTCATGTGACTATGTAATTGAATGATTATATAAAAACGTAGAATTTATGTTTACTGATCTGGGGTGCTCGTTTTCGGATTGCTGATACATCGATTGAGTGAACGGATCTACTTTACAATCCCACCCCCTTTCAAGAAGGGGGGGGGGATTTTTAAGAAGATTACTTGCAGTGAATTTTCGACCAATCAGAATGCAGCAAAACTCGAATTTACATAACGCTCTAGTGCGAATTTACTGTTTTTATTTTTAAGACCATTTATCCACGGGGGAATGGACCAACACAAGAGCTGTACAGCTCATCACGGCGAACCGCTGTTGTGCCCTTGCTTAAGAACTACATGCTATTTTTTTTTTTTTTTATTTTTTTTTTTTTTGGTTATTTTTCTGGGCTGGGTAATGTTGCTTCACCCTCAAGCAACGAGCACGGATCATGGTGGAGATTTACAGGGGTGGAGATTCTTTAGTAGATACACTAGGGGGGGAGATTGTTAAGTAGATCCGAGTGAACTCCTACCAATACAATCAGCAGTGAAGCTAGAATTGCTCAAATCGGCCGGACCTTTGTCATAAAATTATTACTCACACACAACCTTTAAGGATAATCATGATCTTTTTGATTCATCCAGTGGCGTGATTCATCCGAATTTTTTTAAAGGTGGATTGGAAAAATAATTTTCTCGACACTCTTTAAGGTGAGCCAATTGCTCTACCGCAACCCTGAAATGGTCAAATTTATGAAATTTTCTGCATCGCAAACTTTTTGGGGAAAAATCGAAAAAGGTTTTAGACGACCACTAAACTATTTCGAAGACTTTCGCAAGCTTTCGCGATTCCCGGCCATTCCAAGATATCCGATTTTTTAAGTCCGCCCTGAGAGACAAAAACTTATTTGCCTGGAAATGTGTCTTAGTCTTACTATTTAAAAACAGTTGCCTTGATGGGTATGTACTACATGCCTTAATATATATCCAATGAAATATACCTTGGTGTGTATGTTCTGATCAAACGCCGACAGCATCACTTGTCTCAGGTTGAAGATTCCCGCATTGGCCTTCCTCGAAGCAGCCAGCTTCTGCAACAGCTCATCTGGAATGGGGGATCCATCCTTGTAGTGCTTGGACAGCCTCTTCACAGGCTCCTCGTGCCACACCCAGTTCTCCAGCATCTGGGAGGGGGCTTCCACGAAATCCCGCTCCACCCTGCAGTCATTAACTTCATCATTCAAACTAAGTAACAATAAGGTTTCAACTTTTCATGCTAAGTGGCACTACAAACTTGCAGGTTTGCTCATCTAAAAACTAGCGTATCACACTTGGATGTTATCATCATCTCTTTAAAAAAGACCTGTATGATAGAAAAAGAAGTTACTTTCAAGTTCTTATAACTCTCAAGTATATTAGTACCTGGTGCCTGCGAAGATTGAGTACTTGCTACGTGCACAGATTTGGTGCATCACGTGACCAAATTCGTGGAAGAAGGTCTCCACGTCGTCATGATCGAACAGAGCCGGGTTGTCTCCTACTGCCTGTTTAACAAGTGAATCAATTTTTCCGCACAACCCGTAGTTCAATAGATAGAGTGATGGTTCGAGTCCCAGCACAATCTCGCCTTTTTGTTATTTTCTTAAGGGAGCAAAAAAATAGCTTAAAATTATCACTCCTAAAAACAAAAATGGCAAACTTCTAGTTTTATATTCAAAGCAGAATAGTCTTATTTGGTGTATTGGGTTTAGTTTCTTTTTTAAAGAAAAAAACAATCTTAGTTTCACAATAGCGAAACATCCTCTTATCGTATCTATTGAAGAATTTTCCCCAACATTCGAAAAAAGACAGTCCATCTGAGAAAGAGTTAATCATATTTACTTGCCTTAGGAAAGTTTGCCACCATAGCACACGCGGGATACTGCGTTGTGCCGTCGGAGAACTTTGCGTAGCATTGGAGTCCGAACACTGCCGCGTGACTAAACTTTCCATCTCTAGGGTAGAGGTCCAAGTAGAAATGTCCCATAGTCTCACCTAGGATCAACTTTCAAACTATAGGTTGCCTTCTTCAGGTTAATAGTTTCAAACTATCATCTCGTCTTCAAGTGTAAGGAATTCGGAACTACCAATATATTTCCATATCATGATTCAGAATCCATAAAAATATAACCTACTTCGAGAATACTGGACAAATAGTTCATAACTTATTCCAGGTCTGGTGTTCGATCCCGTCAGAGGCAGAAAGTCATTTCAAAGCGCTCTCTATGGTAGGCCAGCCCCCAATGTCTCTTACCTGTGTCTGCGTCAGTGACCTCGTAGAGCGCTACTTCCGGGTGCCAGGTGTGACCATCTTTGATGAGGTGGAACTTGAGGTGGAGTAACTGTTGGTAGATGTCAAGTAATCCCTCTGTCACCACATCCACTGGGAAGTATTCCTGCAGCAAACACTTTCTCTTTTCATATCCGAAAATATTTTACTCTGTTCAAAAACTTAAAACTGTATTTTTTGACATTTTCAGCTTCACCTCTTTCCAGGAGACTGAAAGGAGACAAAAGACAGTTGGAAAAGAGTCAATGAAAGCAAGAAAAAAATACTGACTTGTTTTTTTGAAAAATCTCAAAATTGCCCCTTAAGTTCTCTGATTATCTAGAACAATTTATGATGAGAATTTTTTAATTATAACCAGCTGACAGTTGGAGAAGAGTAATGAACGGAAGTAAACAGAAAAAAAAAACACTGACTCTGTTGGAAAAAATCTCAACTTTCGAATTTCAAAGAAAAAAATAATGCCCTTTAAGCTCTTTGAATTTGCTTTTTTGATAACATTAACCCAACTTGAGAAAACTGATTCAACAGGTAAAATTTTTATTCCGCTGGAAACCTAAAAATTAAATTCCGCATTCAAAACTAGAAATTGTTCGTTTTTTTGCGCCATTTCCACGTTCGTATTTGGAGAGTGCTATTTACGGAACTTTTAGCAGATGAATTTCAATTGGAACCAAAAAGTGCACATATACCTAAGTGCTTTCAAAACTGCTTTGATATGTATGAATGCACATCTGTAGTTATTAGAGCATTTTAGGACTTTTTCCTGGAAAAAGAAAAACAAAACAAATTCACAAAGAACCATATAAGAGTCTTCACTACGTTCATTACTCTTAAAAAGAATACTTCAAAAACTACAATTGCGACTTGCCTTTAGCTTCTCGTGGTCCACGCTGTACATTCTCTCAGACAATTTGTTCATGTAAAACCTGAAGTCCCACATGTTCACTTTGCCGTCATTCTCGAAGCCGAACTCCTTCGCATCTTCCTCTTTGTACTTCAAATACTGTTCCATCTCTTTGCTGAAAGAGGGCTTCAACTTAGTGGCCAGATCCTCTAAGAAATCAGCCACTGTCTTCTGATTCTTGGCCATACGCAGTTCCAGTATGTAATCTGCGTGGTGCTGGTAACCTAATAGAGCAGCCTAAAAATAAACAGGTAAAAATAACGAGGGCACGAGGTTTAATGATAATATGTAGAGTAAGGGATCTTTGTATAGATTTATGAAATTACAAACAGCTTCTAAAAGCTGAAGGTTTGAATTATTCAGCTCAGTTCATCTCTTTTTCAATTTGTACCAAACTTGCGAAAATTGTTGCCCCGAGAAAAAACAAAAGAGCTGTTGCAGTCAATGCCGAGAACCACTGTTGCAAACAACATTTTGAGTAACTGCATTTTTTGGTTGTTTCACAGACTCGCAGACGTTATTTCACTAACGAGCCCCGCGCTTCGTAAAAAAACCAGCAGATTCCGCATCAATTTTTACGTATTAGGCCCCTGGAATTCAACTTTAAAAAGATCAAAGGAATTGAGGCTCGGTTCTGGAATCCGCGGCAACTCCTCCCTTCTTTGTATTGGATACAGAGAAGGGAGGAGTTGCCGCGGATTCCAGAAACTAACTTTTTTCGGTTCATTTGATGAATTTAAAATGCATCAACTGTATTAACTTATTAACATTCGAATGTCAAAGCACATGCTATCAAAAAGCTGTAAAAGAGCTTGACTAAAAAAAGAAGGTTCTTAACAATACATTAAGCTGATGCTAGTGTAAAAAAAGGTTCTTAACAATACACTAAGCTGACACTCTTGCCTAGTTATTAACAAAAGTCGGCCTCAAACTACCAACCAGATTGAGCGGGGGATGTAAAATCACTTCACAGCCACTTAGATTACCTTTTTATCATATATAAGGGAGAGTTTTTGCATGACCGATGCCCAAAATTTTTCAAGCAATCAACGTCTTTTGAACTGTCCGCAATGAACTACTGATGATCAACTTTAAATCTTCCAAATTTTTGAAAAACCATCTCCGGTTGGCATACCGAATTTTTGGGGATTCCATACTTCAGGGATTTTCCCACATTAATTAAAAGAGGAACTTTTCGAAGAAGGATTTTCTCACATAAAATTTTAACTGATCGATATAAAACCGATAACTAACCTGTTTGGCTCTTAGTTGCACAGACTCCTCCAACAGCTTCGCATTCAAATCTTTGCACCTCGAGTTGAATGCAGTCTCTAGCAACTTCCTAGTCTCAGGCAGCACACACTTCTTCTGCACTGGGAAGTAGTCGGGATACTTGAGACTGATTCTAAACTTGTCTCCTTCTTTTCTACCTTCTAAGAAGTCGGCTGGTAGACCCTGCAGCTGCTCTGCAATGAACAAGCGAAATGCACTATTCGTATACACATGCGAACAAAAAGTTAATAATAAATTCGATATTCTATTTTATACCAAAATTAGCGAATTAATAGAAGTAGCGGAAAACTTATCGTCTGCCCAAAGATTCGAACCAATGAATTCGTCCTCCCACCAAAGTACCATACTTGTCCTCCCGTGTATCTTAGTATGATTAACTAGATCGTTAAACTGACGGACACATAATGGCAGCGAAGATGGACTCCGTTATTCTTGCCGATTGCGCAAAACAATTTTGCAATAAGATTCAAGTGCTTTTCAACGTCGAGAAAACTGATAAATACTCCACGATTCATTCTTTCGCTATTACTTTCAATTTCCAGTTTTTTTAATTTCATTTCATGCCCACAAAAACTATACCGCAAATTAATTGGTGACCTTTAGTTAGCAAGAATGTGGTGTTCTCTTCGTTCACGTTCTTCTGGAAGTCAATGGATATGTCACTGAGTCTCTTCTTGATGGCCTTGATCTCCTGTCTCACAGCCTCATCTAAGTGGAGTCCACTGCGCAGTCCACTTTTCACCAGTCGCTCTATGTACCGCTTCGACTCTCCTTCTAGTTTAGAGCCTGTCAATAGAACAAACGAGAATAGCCAGTTGCTGATTCGAAAGTGCCACCGAACATTCCCCCATCAATTTTATCTGCGCAAAAAAAAACTTTTAAAAAACGATAGAAGTTTTCGTTTTTAGAGCAAGTTTTTGGAGCGCTAATTATTGGGAAATTGACAAAATGAACATAAAAATTAAGCAACATTACTTGACGAAATTATCTTCTAGCGTGATTCATGACAAGTAATTTATTTCACTAGTACAAAGACCGTTACCCAATCATACAAAGACGGTTATCCAAACTGTTTGGTAGCTTTTTGGTAGCTTTCCACTATGAATTGCGTGTTTCCGTCTAAAAATTAGTGCATAATTGCTCCAAAGCAACAAATGGATGCCGTAAAATAATATCAAAGGAAACTCTTAGGGTTGTCAGGTGGTCAAACACCTGGGGGTGATGGAACATCTTTTCGACACCGAATGTTTCAATGCAGGTCGAACTACGACTGAAATGGCTCAAAATGATACGACATTCGACTTGTTAGGACCGTTTTAAGTGGTACATGGTTGTCTTTCCGCGGGCAAAAACAACCGAATACAAGTTCCTTCCTACGACTTGGTCAAAATTACCAGAGAAGGTCTGTTCAAACAGTCCAAATAAGATAAACAAAATAAATCATAGTCTTAACAATCAAGTTTTACTGTTTTACTCAGAGAAATTCAGTAACGTTAAGATCGGCTAAAAATGTCCCTGGTTATGAACAACAAGCTATTTTTTCAGGGCTCACAATTGTTGCCTCACCTTAGACCTTAGTCTCCTTACTGTCGCTTCTTTATGAACTCAATCTAATTTACCGATTTCGGACTTGTGGAATGATTGGAGACTGTCGAACACGTCTTTCCTCATCTGCATTTCCACGCTGTGCTCACTCAGTTTCTTGTCTGCCTCCGTGCTCGCATTTCTGATCTCCTCCGAGGGGTGCACGTGGTGCAGGAACTCCAAGTTGTTCTCTATAGGGTACTGCTTGGCAGAATGGTCAGACAGACGAAGCAGCACCGAGTCCTCAGTCAACTATCAAAATTGAACGTCACCCGTCAAAAAATTTCAAAAACAGCTCCATAGTGTTTTAACCCCGCCAGTACAAGTATGATAGAGGGGTCCCAAGAAAATTAACGGCTCCCTAATTTAAATAAATGCCTCTAGTTTTTTTGGAAGTTGTTCTAGTTTTTTGCATCGGCGATTTCAATTAAAGTATCGAATAAGTTTGTGCAAATGAGGCAGGTTAATTATGTTGGAGAAATAGCTTTGATACGACCCACTGGCGCATATTGAATTAGTTATTACTGCAGTCTTTGCTTGAAATAGTTGCCGTATTTGCTTAAAATAGTGTGATTCGGGACCCTCTCTCACGCTTGTACCTAAATTTCTGCAGGCTTATTTTCAGTTTCGACACATATAGGTTTAAATTATTGATAACAACTGCATTATAGAAAAAAAAAACTCATTAATTGAGTTGTCAAAATGTGCATTCGAAGGATACTATAAGCAATTATTTTCCCGAAAACCTACGTGGAGATAATCGGGACCTACGCAGATTTTCAACTTCAAGTCACACTTGATTTTCTTGTCAAAAAATGTCAAACATTTGTGTTACTGTTTCAACTAAATTCGATTAAAATTTGTTACATTCGATTAAATTGTGACCAAAACACTCCAAAATGCTTTTTTCGTAGTTGAACGAAAGTTTTTCATAAAAATTGAGCTTGAAGTCAGCCAAAAAATTGAGGTCCCTGAAAAAGCGCAATCGCTTGTCATTGCTCGTTTGCCTCTTGAACAGCAATTTCGACAATCCGAAATTTCGGTTTGAGTTTCGGCGTCACAAGGTCAGAATATAACTTAAGGATGAAATCATGACCTTAACTGACCTTGTCTGTGGGCAATGCTGCCACTTCATCTAGAACTTTCTTGTCTGTTGCTATGACTTCATCGCACAAAGTGGCAATTTCCTGGGCAGAGAGGTTAAAATTGAGGCGGATATTTGCAACAGCAGCCATTGACCTGAAAAGAGAAAAGCATCTGAAAAGAAAATTTATCTAAATAATGGCAATCAAAAGATAACAGCAACAGCGGCAATCCTCACTTGAATGACTAAGTTACCGCCACACACTAGCTGTCTAATTTTCAAGTGCAAGTGCATTTCTGGATGTCTATCCTTCTCTGACATTTTGCCAAACAATGTGCAAACCTTTTGGCAAAAAAAATCTTTCAAAAAACGCGAGTCATTAGTTGCGGTGGATTTAGTGTCCGAAACAATTTTAAATCAGCACTCACTAAAAACCTATACTCTGACTTCATTTGTTGACACAGAGGTAACGCAGAGCTTACAGCACTTGCGATACAACACGAACATTAAGAAAATGTAAAAAAAGTTTTAAAAGTAATTTCAAAAATTGGACTTTGCTCAAAACCTTAATTGTTTCTTTAACAAAATAAGTGATAAGATAGAATGTATATTTTTAGATAAATAACATTTATTTTAAAAAACTTAGAGTCGCGCCACTTCTGCAGGAAAAATTCTCGCAACCGGTTCTTTCGATTGAACTTCATCTCAAATTTGATAGGGAAGTTTTAAGAAAAGTCAAACAGTTTCAAAAAACGGCTTTCCAAGTTTCAAAGCTTTCGTCTGCAAAAACAAGGCCGTGGTAACTCAAGCAGAGAAGATTGAATACTTAACCTAAGAATTGGCAGGGTAGTTTTCGAGTAAAGCCAAAAAGTTTCCAAAAACTTTTTTAAGGCCATTACTTTTTTCTCAAATAACTAGAGCAGAACCGGTTAAACAGGTAGGCTTTTGGCAATCTGTTATTTCATTGAAAACCTTGATATCAGATTTGGCATTTAGTTTTCGAGAAAAGTAAAAAAAAAACCAAAAAACGGTCAACATCACAATATACAAAACACAACCAATGTTAAATAAACTCTTAACAACTAATACTAAATAAGCTTTTAGCAATAACCGAGCGGCAACTAAGCTGCCAACACGTCGTAAGACTCCTATCGAATCGAAAACAAGAAGACGCCCTAAAAATTGTGTCATTAAAAGTTTTGAACAAAACAGTCTAAAAACTTTTGATATCTTGCAAGACAAGTACCCTAATGATTCAAAAAAATCAATGATTTTTTTTTGCTTAAACAGTGACACAAAAAATAAGCTAACAAAGCTAATAAAGCATCAGCCAAAACCATTCAGGCCAAAAAAAATTAAGCAAAAAAACGAGAAGGAAAACATTCGTCAGAGCTTTTTTTTTTTACAAATTACAGGACTAAATCAAAAATACTTGCATCTACGATGAAAAGTTCTGACAACGCAAGAACATTCCACATTCACCGATGTGGCAACTAACAGGCATTAGGGTACACAGGCAAGCACGCTTCCTCTAGGCCAAGAGGGAGAAGCCTCGAAGTTTCTAAAGTTCGCTAATTAACCACCTTCACAATTTCTTACAAATGGATGAAAAATTGTTTACTAAAAAAAGTCTAGTTCCCGATTACAAGACAGTGTAAAAAGAACGCTAAGTGCAATCAACACAAAAAAAAATTAAGAAATCTGCGTCCCTTTGCATTTCCTTGTAAAAAAACTTCTATTTGCTGGCTCATTTTCTATTATCTCGCGGGGAAGCTCAATTCCAGGGGTGAATCATTTGTGTGGGTCGACCAACTTGAATATCCGAGCTCTACCAAAACATTTAGGACTCTCTTTTGTCAGAGTTTTTGCGCCACAGGCAATCTTTAAAAACCTGGCATTTTTTTCGGCCGGGGCGAAAAAATTATCGGCCTGCATCTATCCCTAAATTGCGTACTAATTTGCGCCAAAGGCGCCTTAAGAAAAGTTTCAGGGTTGGTCGGCTAAAACTAAATGCCGTAAAAGTCCTCCATCTGCTCCCATAACCCGTCCATAAATAATACAATTCCGTAAATTTGAGGTATAGGTAGTCCTATTTCGAGGATTGCAAATTCCCCAAAAATCACTTCAACCCCAGAGATTAAAATTTTCAACTCACATCAATCTTTTCCGTTGCATTGACTGACCTAAGTATGGTACAAATTTTATCATGCGCGTCCAAGCAAAAATCATTTGAAATCAAGCAATCTGAAACCAGCACAGCAACCAGTGATTAAGGAGCACAACTTTAATGCCATACAGAGTTCTTTTTCGTTGAAAATTCCCCCTTAGGTCCGTCCGTCTTGTATGATCAGAAAAAAAACGAACAAACAAAAATATCCATCACTGGTGCATACGAATTACAGTAGCGTGGTGAGCATTTATGTCAGATCAGTCAACTGATATAACATTTTACAGTACAGCCCTTCGAACTCAACAGAAATTTCCAAAATGTTTTTCTAGCTTTGAAACAAGAGTATTTATTTTTTTAATTTATCAAGTCTTTAGATCGAAGAATGGATGAAATTTGTTACTCATCACGACAACAATAACTACATTGAGGCAAATTTGCACCTCGAAAACAATCAAAACTTAAGCCGTCTAGTTTTTTAAAATTTTTACAAACTCACTGTGAAACACAAAGGGATGTTTCTCATTCACAATGCTTCATTTAGACCCAAAACTTAGCCTCAAAGCAATTTGGAACATTAATTTTCCCAATTAGCACCCGATTTTAACAAACATCAAAAAAATGTTTCGAACGACAACTATTTCTGACTTTTCCAACACTGCTAAATTGAACGATTTTTCAGGAAGGTAATGAACAGTACCCCTATAGTTATGCAATTTCCCTACTAGTATGATAGTGTAAATTTTTAAGCGAATCATTTATAAAAATGAGTAAATATCTAACAAAGACATCAGAATTTAACATTGGACCATTTTGAATTCAGATCAAAGAATTGCAGTTGATACTACAATAACCATGATAGAGGAGATTCACCTAAATGTGCAATCAATGACCACAATAACACAGTGCATAATCAGATCTTAGAAAAATATTTAATACAGTTACTCTAAAACTTATATAAGATTTCAACCATTTCGAGGAACAGTTCGTGAGCTTCTTAAATCCTAACTAAAAACCGATTAAAAAAGCATGCCTGCAAAATGTTCAATCAGCCTATAAATTCAACAATCGAGCTTCATAGGGATTCATATTAGATCCACTTTCTTTCAGCATTCATGTACATGATATTGGAACTCCAAAAAAAAGCATGAAGATAACAATATTTAGCATCCAGATACCCTGTTATATAAAGAAAAAACAAGCGAATTGACAGTTTAAAAAAATACTTGAAAAACAAGCGCAACACAGAGACGAAGAGGAGATTCAACCCACTTGCGATACGTCAAAAAAAAGAACGGCAGATAAACGAAAAAAAATTACGACAAAAGTCACTGACTCAGAGAAAAAATGAAATATCGATTTTTGTATTGATTGATTTTGGTGGTTGATTTTCACGAAAAATACTGAGAAAAACAATTGCCAGTATGAAATAGCTATTGAAAAATAGCATTGATCAAACGATTCCTGGACAGACAACACTTGGCTAGACAAATGACCCGAAAAAAATTGCTGCAAAAACTAGCTATAAGAAATCTTGAACTTTTCACAACCCCCTTCAAGAGCATAAATGCAGTAAAATTATTTTGGCTTTGATACGACTAATTTTGAGTCGAAAAACAGATAGATTGCCAATAGAAACCATTTAATCCGAAGAAAACAAAAGTGAAAAAACACGAGAACAATCAGCAAAAAAAAAGAAAATTAAAGTTGTATTGAAGGCAACAACAAAAATTATAACTAAGTGGCTATTTAAAACTCAGACATGCTCAAAAAATTGATTTCCAGACATTCCATCAGAAGAGACATGCTAACTGATTTTGTTGAACTAGTTCCTTACCCGAAAAAAGTCTATATTCCGATTTGATAACGTGGTAGATCGAATGTGTAAATGAACGAAAATTACGATTAGCTTAATTAAACTATTCATTTAATTAAACTATTCATTTAATTAAACGATTCAAACATTACACACAGAGTCAAAGGGGAGCTTCGCATCACTTGCGATACCACAAAAATTTCATTGCAAGCTAGCAGACAGGAAACGAAGAAGCAACGAAGAAATGTCATGAAAAACTTTGAACTATAAAATCCGTTTTTTGCGATCCGGAGGAAAGTATACAAATCATTTTTCCCTCGAACGACCCAAAACTAGGTTAAACAGCCAATAAAATATAAGCCGAAATCATTTAGGAGAAAATAATTGGGCAAAAAATTTAGACACAGAAGCAAAGCGGAGCTTCGCAACACTTGCGATGCAAAAAACACATTGCAAAATAAGGAATGAAAAAAAAAGACAATAGAAGAAAAAATTTCTGAAAAATTATATTGGAAAAAAATACTTGACAAAATTTCAAAAAATACAGCTACAAAAACTTTATATTTGTATCAGATGAAGTTCATAAGCAACCCTTAGAAAATGGAAACCAATTACGAGCGGCAACAGAGGCAAACAAACTTGGGGTCGAAAACTGTTGAGCCAAAAACAAAATTGTTGTCAAACAAATTTTCATTTAATTTAGAAGTTTTTTACGACCCATTCAAACTGAAATACATAAACCCAAACGGATATACTACGCCCTCGAAATTACGCAAAATAGGTTGACTAAGTCAATATAACATAAACTGAAACTGTTCGAATATTAAAAAAAACAATAAAAAATTGAAAAAAAACTCATAATCAGACATGGTAAATTTACAAATTTGTAAAATTTCGATTTGATTAAAAAAAAACTTGGAATGATTATGATTATCGCATTTTACAATACGGATTTTCACCGATGCCAAGGAATTCAAAAATCATATTCGATTGAAATAAAAATGAGGCAGATATCAAAAAAAATCCATAAATCAGGAAGCAAAAAAATAGCAAAACGCTTCATTTTGAAAAAAATGCAGCTAGACAGACACTAATGCATAAAAAGGGCATACGAAAACTCGGTATTTTTCCAAATTTTGTTTTCAAGCAAAACACAAGTAAGCGTCAATACAGGATCATTGGCTCCTGCAAACGGGCTGCAAAATTCCACAGCATTTTCGCAATTAGTTTTCATCTGATTGTAGATGTACTTAATTTCGCAAGAATCAATTTGCAAACAATTTTAGATACTTATGGGTCGGTTTAATCTGCGACCTGCAGTACAAGTTGAGAAACATGGTTAAAAGGCGTCTAAAATTATCGCAATTTTTAATCAAACTGGCAAAGTGAGCAATTTCATTTTTATTGAACGATTTCAACTTAGAGCGACTTCATTAATATTTGGTGCAATGGACATTGATATCTTTCAGATAATGTAGAAAAAGCTATAATAGCCTGTATAAAAAGCCTCAAAATCGAAGTAAGCTGAACAAAACGTGAAACGAAATTAAAAACACAGAGGCGAAGCTGTGCTTCGCTCCGCAAACACTTGCGAGAACACGACCAAAAAGCAGCTCTATCAAGCGAAATAAGAAACAGTAAAAATAAGCCTCGAATTTGCAAAAACTCGAGACTTAGCAAAAACTCTAATTAGCAAAAATCTGCGACTAAGCAAATTTGAGTCTCACAAACTATTCAGCCACGGATGCTTAAAATCCCCAAAACTAGCCACCAATACTGCAGCTACATATGCTAATAAACTGGCAATTCGATGCAGCAAAAGTAGCATCAAATACAAAAAGATACAATTTTGCATGTAAAAAATCGCAAATGATAAAACCACACTATGTTTAAATTATGCATTTCAAAAATTGCGAGATATATTGAGTAAGAAAATTTTGGAAATCGAGATTTTATCATTGTCATGTTGTTTGAAAAAAAAATAATTCTCTTCGGTTCACTTGATGAATTAAAATGCATCAACTGTGTAAATTTACAACTATTCGAATGTCAAAGCACATATTATCAATAAGCTGTAAAGATTCAACTAAATTTCAAAGGTGCAACAAAATATCAAAATACCTTATTGCCAATTCGATGCAGCAAATCAGACGCAGCAAATATTGTTGCTTTAAGTCGCAACAAAATTGCGACTTAGTCTCCGCAACAAAAGTCGCAACAATATTTGCGACTTAGGTTGGAAAAAAAAGAAAGTTTGTACTATAACACATGCTTGCAAAGTGTAAAAAACGCGTAATACAAGACAAGCATTGCCATGTATAAAATGCGACAAAATTTAAAAAAAAAACAATGAGAGCAATACTTACGAAGTATACTTTCAGCCGAATACTTTGGAAATGTCAAAAAAGTCAATAAGTTTTTGTTGCACATTGCTACCGACTAGTCTTGTTTCGCTTTGGCAAAATTTGACATTTTTCAAATATTGTCCTTTGCAACCCGTAAGGCGATTCGGGTTTCTTGAGAAAATGTAAAGGTGTGCCGAGTATCAGACTCGAGTATCACATTTGACTGCTTATGGACCTGTCTGATCACCTGTTTTCCGCTTGCAAATCTGACACCGGTCAATTTCAAGTAACTAATTAAACAATATTCCAAGATTCAGCTTTTCAACGAAAAACAGTAAACTGAAAAACTGATTGAAGTTTTAAATGATTAATCTAAGGGAAACATAAGTACAATTTGGAAATTTTAAAGCAAATTAAAACTAAATAATCTTTAATCATTGATCTTTTTTAGCGTCTCCAGTTGCTTCAACTTCTGAGGTAGCTGTAACGTTGCTTTCTTCGTTTGCCTCTTTACCATCTTCTGTTGCGTTTTTAGAGTTGGAGCAATCTGTTCTTACCAGCTTGCAGACACCTCCTTCACACACTTGTTTGTAATCAGCTCTTTTCGAGTCGTCTTCAGGTGCCTTGACAATTCCCATCTTTTCAAGCCATGGCATCAAGTAGGGTCTGATGAACTTATGGAATATATACAGAATGAGTGGAATGAAAATACAAGGAACACAAACCATTGTCACACCAAATCTGAAAAAAACTATTGATCACACCAAGCCTAAAAATTTCAGAATCTCCCTTTTGGGCTTTAAAAATTTATATGTCTACGGAAAAATTGACGACTTCAACCATACTTCTTATTACGCATTCTTGGCACAAATTGAAACTTCAAAAGCTTTTTATAAACATAATATAAATAACCGATCAGTTGTAAATTGAAGCGCATTAACCTATAACAAAACTACCGAGCATATCAATTCAACATTTAATGAAGCAACGAGATGTTTATATTTTTGATACTCCATTTTTCCAAGTTAATTCCAAATGTACATATTCAGCCTTTATAAGTAAAATGTTCGTTATAAGCACCTGTTTTTAAAACATTACTCATACCATGATATCACGACCATCAAATATACCCCCAATACCATTGCAATCAACTGGACAATAGTTGGAACAAATCTTGACTCCTCCAGAAGCTCTGGAATTACAGAAACAGTTGCTATGTAGATAAAACCACCGGCTGTGAATGGAAGAATGTACAAATTAATGAACTCGTCTCCTAATCCCTGTGCGAGCAGTCCGATCAAGGTTCCAGACAAAGCTCCAACAGCTGTCAGAAGCTGCATCATTATAGCCTTGCGCTTGCTGAACCCCGACTGGATCAAAATCGAGAAGTCCCCAATTTCATGTGGGATTTCGTGGAATAGAATTGTCACCGTAGACACAACTCCAACTTGAGGTCCCAAAAGGTAGGAGGTTGCGATTGTTAAGCCATCTGTGAAATTGTGAGTGAAGTCAGCCACTAGATTAAGGTAGCCTGATACTTTCACCTCTTGATGACAATCAGATTCCTCTTCCTTGGACTCTTTGCTCATTTTACCTCTAGATGGTTCCGGCTTCTTCTTGCTCTTACTTTTGTCTGGAACATCTTCTGAACTTTTTTCTGAGTCGCTGGTTTTGGCTTTCTTTGCAGGTTTATCTTTTCCATGTCCTTTATTTTCTTTCCCATTTCCATGAGAATGCGCATGTGAATTTCCATGTGAATGGCTGTGTTCGCCTCCATTGCACAAACGAACAAATTTTTCGATCAAAAGAAATAGAGCAAAACCTCCGATGACTGAGAGCCAAATTGTTAAATCATGTACGTGAGCGTGTCCACCTCCGTGTGAGTGACCATGACTGTGATCATGTCCATGATGATGCCCATGATCATTACTAACGTGATGGTTCTGATACTCAACTGCATGTGGAATAAGATGTAGAAAAGCATCTCCTAAAAGTCCTCCACTGGCAAAGCTCAAAAGAACCTTCAATAAAGGCTGATATTGGGCATCATTACTTTGCAATGGGATAAAGAAGAGTATAAAAAATGGAGCTGCGCTTATGAGTGCAGTTGAGCCTAAAGCCTGTATCCACAAATCTTGGTCATATTTAAACGAATTATGTTTTTGTTGCCCGTGCTCACGGTGTCCGTGGTCATGATTATGGTGCCCGTGGTCATGGTCTTGATGATGGTGCCCGTGGTCATGGTGTTTGTGGTCTTGGTCATGATGATGATGATGCCCGTGGTCATGGTCATGATGATGCCCGTGGTCATGGTCATGATGATGGTGTCCGTGATCAGCTCCGGTATTAGCTTGCTTTGAATATCGGAACTTCGCAGCGTTCATAGAACCTTCTTCATCCTCGTGATGATGACCCTCATGTGGTGCGACGTGACTTATTTGAGCGACCAGCACGCACAGCAGCAACAATTCCCGCATATTTCTATAAAATAACGGGTTCTATTGCATGCAGCACTTTATAAAAAAAAAGTAAATTATAAGAGGGGCCCTTCCGTTTAGGTACGGTTGTGCACTTTTCAATATAATTAAACACAGTGGCGAAGCTGGGCTTCGCACCACTTGCAATATAAAAAATGCCACAAATCAAAGATATTGTATTTAACGAAAACGTTGAATGGATTCTGTTGAAAGAAAGGTAGGCATAACAAGAAAAACCGATTACAGCGCAAAAAGCACAGAATGTTCGACCTGTCTTTAAATAAATAACATTTTTTTATATTAGTTTCATTTTTTCTGTGTTGTAATAGTAAGATCAGAACAAAAAAAATATAAACTAGGTAGATTCGAGAGTCATAGTCAAATAGGCTAACTGGAAAACAATTTCTGTAGGTAAATGAATAGAAAAACAAAAAATGGAAACATTAAAAAAAAACATTTTATCATTTAAATAAGTTTATTGTAAAAATCAGAAGAGAAACTATTAAAATGTGAAATTGAACGTTTTCGGAACTATGCCCATCGTCAGGTTTAAAAAATTGATATTAAATGATTTACAGACGTTAAAACACCAAAAAAGACCATTATTACGTAAGAATTTATTAGTCTTTAATTTTCCTTAATTTTCTGAGCTTTTAAATCTTACTTAGCTTTTCCTTATACTAACTTTTACACATTTAAAATTTTTATATTGACATGTAGGATATTCTGAGCCAAAAATATTTTTGGACAAATCTAAAAATTAGCTCTCTTCTCCTGAATTCATCCCACAAATCCTCTGGGTACTGATTGGCCTTCCGTTGCTGTCTATTGATCATAATTGCTTCATGGTTAGGTTCCCATGTTGATGTGCTCTTAAAAATCCTGTGCACCGTGCCCTCTATTATAATTCTCTTTTACTGCAGTGTTGCGCAACTTCTGACTTTTAGAAGCGAACCAGTTTTCGTTGGGTTTTGGTAACCTCCACGTTTAACTTGCTTGTTGCCATCTACTTTTAAATTAATGTCTAAAAAAACCAGGGCAATGTTCTCATTCTGTGTTTCATGTGTGAATTGTAAGTTAGGGTGCAATTTGTTGGCAGCTTGCAATACCACGCTAGCGTCGCTTTTAAAAGTCCTTAAAATATCGTCTGCATATCGTAGGAAAAGCTTCAAACCTGTTATCGTCAGCTCACATTCACGCCTCTCATTGCACAATTCGCAGAACCGAAATTTTCTGATATGCCTATGTAATTTTTATCCGAAAAACCACCACAATCGTTATGATATCAATTCAAACAATCCTCACATTCCACTGCCCTTGGTCTGAAAGTCGCCCTTCTATAGCATTTTGGGCATTTTCCGTTTATGTCCTCTAGGATATCATTCTTTTAAGGGATGTTTATAACCAGAAACTTCTCATAGTCTGTCAACCAAATGTTTATCAGAATGACTGCCAGGGATGCAACCATGGCCAATATATCCTTCTGTACGTACTTTTTGTCGTTGCACTTAAAATGGACATTGCTAACAACAATGAACAAAATGCGTTTCAAAGTACTTCTTGACAAGTCAGGTGGCTCATTCTGGCTGTATAATTTCAATGGCATCTTTGAGTGGAAAAAATGTGCACAGCCTTTTCACATCCAAGGAAGTGATGCTCTCATCGGGGTATAATTTAAAATTCTCTGTCATAACTCTAGCTGCTTCAGTGTTGGTCTCAACATTTGCACCCTCGAATTTATTAAAAAATTCCGCTAGTGTTTTATTCAGTTTCTCATAAGAACTACCGGATAGAGGACATGTCGTAGTGCTGTTTTCTTTTTAGGTACTTTAGCCAGTCCATAGGGTCGTGCATGTTGACCGCCAGCATACCTCAACCTCGCATATAAGCCATCTGTAATCTCAGCACTTTTGTTCATGGCCAGTAATTTTTTTTTTCAATTTTTTCAAAGTTTTTCCAATTTTTCGAACAACCGAATCATTCAAATTATCTTGCCTCTCAAGTTGTTCTGAGTCTAGCAATTCCGTCAAGTTCCCTTCATCTGTTTGTTTTTTCATGACGCAAAACCTATAAAATGTTTTTGCAAGTTTGAAGTTTTTGATTCCCAAAATGGAGCTAAAAAATCAAAAATTAACTAGAGTAAAACTAAATTTTCACGGCTTAAAAAAAGTATAGCACAAAATTTAATTTGACAAACCTTTTTGTCTCAAAATTAACCCAAAAATCAAAAACTTGAAACCGGTTTTTTTCAACACTGAAAAAATTTTCGAATGTATTTCGAAACACGAAAAAATGGCAATAATTAGAAAATATAAGTCGATCCGTGGTGCCCAATTTTGCGCTGAAAAAACTATAACTTACCCGATTAGAAAGTGCCTCACAATTTTCAAACGGTCGTCAGAAAAATTCATGAAACGCCTTTATGCAAATGTTATACAAAACAATAACTAAAGCATAAGAAAGATTCGGACTATACGAACCTTGTTCATTTTTTTCTTCTAGCCATTAGATGAAAACGATAGCAGAAAACTTTGATGAAAAAATCGAGATCCAAAAACTTACAAATACAAAACTTTGACTAAAACCTTGCAACCAGACATCCTGCATATCTACTAAATGCTCAAGTCACTAAACGCTAAGTCAGAAAATTTATAGCTATTTTGAGACATGTTTGTCACTTTATCCAACTCTTTGATGGTACTCTAAATATTGTGAGAAAAAATTAACTGTGATGATGCACAAAATGTGCGAAAACTTTTGAATTAACATATCAGAAAGAAAAATCAGCCTGGAAGGACCAAAATCCTGAATCGCGTGCGCCACTCACCACATTCTTTTGTATACAAAACAGTGACATCAAAACTGCAAAAAAGTTTTTCGAAATCATTTTGTTAAGAGAAAACAATACGCTATGCCATTAACTAAAATCGATTTCAAGTGAAAGTTCTCTAACCTAAAACACACTAAATTACTTCAAAAATATAACTTATACCAAGTTTTTCTAAAACAAAAAAATCGGAACCAAAAAAAGTGAAAAATTAATGCAACAAACAAAATTTCTAGCACAAAAATTAAGAAAACGTTACTTGACTAACATGAATTTTTAACGCATAAAAAAACAGGAAACCGTGAATTACTTTTAAAAACTTGACAAAACCGTGAATTACTTTTAAAAATTTCTCATGATTAGTGGGATGGTTTTTTGGGCTGTTTGTTTCGATTTTTTCGGCTGGAGCATTATAATTTACGTCTTGGGACGCAATATAGAAAAGCAGTGTCCAGAGAAGGTGTTCAGAGAAGGGACTGCTTGTTAAAGCGCAGTACTTGAAAGAAAAGTTAGCATTAGAGTAGCTAGAGTTGAACTTGTTATTCCAATTCTTTGATTAAGAAATTTTAAAATAATGATTATGAGCTGAAAATCAATGACGTCCTAACGTCATGATTAGATATTTTATTTATACTGTTTGGGGACCTTAAATTTTCATGAACTCTATCTGAACTCTATATGAACTGCAGTCGGAAAGTTCACAAATTGTTCCATTCCAATCTCTAACATCAAGTCGATGAAAACTTGAAACATGGAAATGCCACAAGAATAGTTTTGCCGTTCAATGCCGAGTATACTGAAAGCACCTTATTCTATTTCTGATTCCACAGTATTAGAGCAAATTTCTTTGATTTGCATGTTGTTGTCTCTTTGTGTAATGAGGTACGGAATGTCAGAGGTGAGTCGTAGAAGCAAACCCGTGAAGTTCAGGTGGGTTCAAGAAGCAAGCAATTAAAACTCTCCGGTGTTTATTTCAAGAAACCTAGAAATTGAGCTTTGAACAAAAAACAGTTATAAAAAAGTTTCAGATTTAACTTTAATCAAAAACCTTTTAAAATTTTCAGATAAATATTTGCTTTCAGATCTTTTTAGAGTAAAGTCTGAGAGAAATAGTTCGTAGTCCAACGCGGAATTGTATGACCAAAAAAAACTGTTAACATGAAAAAATTTAGATTTGTCACGGCGATGTAATTAGCTAAGATCATTCGTTTGTCGCGATTAAAAAAACTTCGTATTTTGAATGCAGAGAAATAAATGAAATCGTTTATAGTTTGTCTTTAGTAGATGGTCAATTTTGATAGTTCCATGATATCTTTGTTCATTCGTAGAATAATCTGAGATTAAATATCTTAATTTTCAATTTCTCAATTTCTTCGTTGTCGCTTAGATTTCACCTTCTTGTTAGAAATTTTTTTTTCCAAAAACTGCTCATCTTTATTCAAAAATTTGCTCACAAAATTTTGGTTTTGTGGTCATAATGGAACTGTTTGAGTCCTTTTGTAGAAGGTAGTAGTTTCCGAACCATCCAATGGTTATTTATTGAAACTATTAAGTGATGCTCGTGGCGCTGTCAGAATTGCTTCCTCTGATGCCACGATTGCCCCGTTTGATTCAACTACTCTGGAGAAACTTGAGAGTAAGCATCCGAAAACACCACTAGACAGAAGAGTTTACCCGCAAAACGTTAACGCTACTTTAATTGTTAATGAAGACGATGTCTATAAGGCTGTCATGAGCTTCGCGCCAGGATCTGCAGGAGGTACCACTTGTTTGCGTCCTCAACATGTGAAGGACTGTCTAAGTGATAAACTTGGTCAAGACGCCTCGAACCTGAAATCAGCGCTTACTGAGTTTGTTAATCTTCTCCTTTCCGGAAAAGTTCCAGACAGAATAAAACCCTTAATTGCTGGAGCCAATTTCAGCGCTTTCAACAAGCCCAACGGAGGCCTGCGCACTTTTGCTGTGGGAGACACACTGCGCCGAGTTGCTGGCAAATGTGCTGCCAGTATTGCCAGTTCGAAGTTCAAATCCTACTTCGCTCCCCTTCAAGTTGGGTTCGGCACCCGGGGAGGAGCGGAAGCTGCGGTCCATGCTGTTCGGGCGTTCATCAAAAGCGCTAACGAAAACGATGTTCTGCTAAAGTTGGACTTCAGCAATGCGTTCAACCACGTTAAAACAGACT